GGGACCCAGGAACTACATGCCTGGAGTTGGGGGACCACTCTCAACTTGGCCGCTCCGGTGGCTTCGGAGCACAGCAGTGCTCAGCAGTCCAGTCCGAGGGCCCCTCCTAACTCCTGATTGGGGTGGGGGTGGTGGGAGGGGGCAGCCAGGCCCAGCGAGTGGACGGGGCGAGGTTTCCTGTGCAGTGGGGGGGGGGGGCACTCACCCTGCACTTCTCCTTTCTCTCTTGCAGTTGGAGACCCCCTCCCCACTAAGTGCCTCTTAGTATAGCACTGGCCCCCCGCACCCCCCACACTCTCTGGTACCAGGACCTCGGGACGGGCCATGGCGGGTCGGGGAGGTGCCGCACGACCCAACGGACCAGCCTCTGGGAACAAGATCTGCCAGTTTAAGCTGGTCCTGCTGGGGGAGTCAGCCGTGGGCAAATCCAGCCTGGTCCTCCGCTTTGTCAAGGGCCAGTTCCATGAGTACCAGGAGAGCACCATTGGAGGTGAGTGGCAGGGGGGGGCGCGGTGGAGGGAGCCTCCAGGAGGCCCAAGAAGTGGGGCTGGGAAGGGAGCCAGCAGGTCCTGCAGGAGACTGGCAAGGAGCGCTGCTGGCGAGAGTGAGTGGGGACTTGGCCTCTGCCTGGATGACTCCTGTGGGCTCACCTCTGGGAAGGTAGAAGCCGGGTCTGGATGCCAGGGGCTCTTGTGCCTGTTGCTGGCCCGGCCTCTCCCTGCCTCCAGATGGGGACATGGCCTGGGGACTCCGCACTGGGCAGGAGGCCGGTGGTCTGAAGTAGACCTTCGCCCTTCTTTGATTGCCCCATGCTAGGTGTGCAGGACTGTGCCTCTGGACTCCGCCGCTCCCCTTGGGGCCAGTACAGTCCTGGAGGGGCCGGGGCCAGCCTTGGTCTTGAGTCACCCTCTCTCCCCTCTCGGCTGGCCGGAGGTTTCCAGGCAGCGGAAACAAAAGTGGCGGGGTCAGCAGTCTTCCTGCTGCCTCCTCAGCACCGGGTCGGGGTCGGGTCGGCCAGAGAAGGGAAGTGAGGAGGAGCTGGCCCTTGGGGAGAGGGAGGGGGGTTGACCTTGGCCCTCGGCTGGGATCGGGTTAAGGGGGCTCCCGTGGGCCTACTCCAGTCCTGGGGTCCTCCAGTGAGGCGTTTGCACACATGCCCCACATTCTTCCACCGCTTCAGGCAGAGATGAGGTCCCTGTGTTCAGGCCATAGCATGGCCTTGCAGGAATGGCTGGGGTCAGGGCTGTGGGCGGGGAGGTGGCCGGCAGGTGGGAGGGAAGCAATGGTACAGTGTGGACCTCCGACTGCCCCAGCACGGCTGAGTGAGCATGTCCTCCAGAACCCAAGGTCAGCAGCCCGCTGTGCTGGGCACAGCAGGCACTGGACAAGATGGGGGTGGAGGGCCTCCCCCGCCTGAGCTAGGAGGCTGGCTCCCAGGCTGTTCTTGCCACAGTGCAGCAAGCCTCCTCCTCACCCTGGCTGGTCTGGGGAGCCTGTACACCCCTACTCCTGAGACACTCGGGGCTTCCCTGGGTGCCTTTGTGCAGGGGTGGCCTGCTGGCCCCAGGCCTGTCCTGAACCCAGCTTCTCCCCTCCAGCGGCCTTCCTTACACAGACCGTCTGCTTGGACGACACAACAGTCAAGTTTGAGATCTGGGACACAGCTGGACAGGAGCGGTATCACAGCCTGGCTCCCATGTACTATCGGGGGGCCCAGGCTGCCATCGTGGTCTATGACATCACCAACACAGTAAAGACCTTTCCTTACTGCTTTCCCTGTTGTTCCCCTTCTTGGAGATCCCCCTTCAGACCTTTAACCTGTTCCCTGGCTGGGGTATGGGCAGGCTGCCTCTGTATGTTGGGGGCCTCTCGGCAGAACCTTTGAGGTATTGGCTGTTTCCACCTCGTGGCTGCAGCGACTCAGGGTTCTGTAGAGCATGACCCTGGGCAGAACGCCCCTCGATCCCCCTGACGTGCGCACCCTTTCTCCCCAGGATACCTTTGCACGAGCCAAGAACTGGGTGAAGGAGTTACAGAGGCAGGCCAGCCCCAACATCGTCATCGCACTCGCAGGCAACAAGGCAGACCTGGCCAGCAAGAGAGCCGTGGAATTCCAGGTAGGGAGAGGAACGACCAGGGGGCGTCCACCAGCCCCACTGCTCAGCCTCGGGCTGGGAAAGGAGGCAGCATCTTCACCTTCTGTTCCCGTGGCAGCTTACCTGTACCACCTTGTGCTATCTCTTTCAGGGTAGGGGCTACATGTGTATTATACTGTGAAGTATACCGTTTCTTCATTTAATTAATTGACTTTTTCATTAAACCGATTGAAGTAATACAGAAGGGTCGGAAGAATGAAATTGAAGGTTCTTCTAACCTTCAGACAGAACCCAGACCTCCACCTCTACCCCCACCCCACCTACCATTCCGTTGTGTTTCCAGAAAGGAGAGAGAGATAGAGGTGGTGTTGTGTATCATCTTCATTAACTCATCTGTGTGCACTGACTAGCGAGGTTTCATGGTGCACTGGGCTGGGGGAAGGTGTCCAGGGCACATCCGTTTTCCATCGAGCAGACCATACATATTTGGTGGCGTGTCAACGATTTAGTCCCCGAGAGGTGATTTTTGCCTCCTCCTGACCCAGGGAGACTTCAGGGTGGTTTGTAATAGCGGCGGGCTAGAAGCATCCACACAGCGGGACTGACTTTGATCCAGATGGGCCGGTGTCTTGGCAGAAGCTTTCCTGACCTAGTCATTTCAGGAGGGTGGGGCTAAAAACTCTGCGAGTGAGACACCTGCTGGTGGCTGAGCTGAGAGGGGCTCGCCTAGCCAGCGCTGGGCTGTGGAGCAGATGTCTCAAGAGGACACGGGGCAGAGAAGTCCGCAGCCTGGTGGCCCTGTGGCTGTCCAGCCTGTCTTCTCTGTTGTGTATAAGACCCTGTGACCAGACGGCTGCTGACGCGTCCCTCCCCTCTCACCTCCATCTGAACCAGGAAGCACAAGCGTATGCCGACGACAACAGCTTGCTGTTCATGGAGACCTCAGCAAAGACCGCAATGAACGTGAACGAAATTTTCATGGCCATAGGTAAGCTGCTGCCAGCCCTGATGGTCCAGGGCCACCGTAGTTTGTAGGTCTGTGGCATCTCCTCTCGACTCCCGGTGTAGACCGCTCACCCCAGACCGTACTGATGCCCGAGCCAGTGGTCCCGCACTTCTTTGCCACTGTAGCGTGCTGTCACCCCCACCTGCTTCCTAGGCCTTTTGTAGCACCTTGGCTCTGCCAGGTGGGCAGGTTTTTAAACTACTTCTTGCCTGTGCTGAAGAACAACCTTCCCAATTCTGAATGGTGTTGGGAGGGAGGGAGGGAGGGAGGATTAGGGCTCCCTCAAATGTGGGTTTTGTTTTCTCCTCTTGTCCCAAACAGCCAAGAAGCTCCCCAAGAACGAGCCCCAGAATGCCTCTGGGGCCCCAGGCCGGAACCGAGGGGTAGACCTCCAGGAAAACAGCCCAGCCAGCAGGAGCCAGTGCTGCAGCAACTGAGCCCCCCTTGCCTGCCCACTGCCCCACCTCCTCCGCCTCAAGGACCGACTGGAATCCACTCTAACCAATCACACTTAACGACCGGGCCACCGCTGGGGGGCAGGGGGAGGGGGTCCACCATGATTTCTCCATATAATTTTGATCATAGGCCGGAGTGAGTTATGCCATCTGCACCTTTCTGTACAAATACTAATTCAATTTTAAGTCTTAGTTACTTTTTTAATATATATGATCTTCTGCTCTTCCCGCTCCCTTCTGTACTACCCCTACTGACCTAGACGGGTAGTGGCCACATGTTCCTGGGCTGCCACCCCCTCCCCCTCTCCCTTCCTCACAGATGGGGGTCAGAGGCCTGAATGGTTACCCTCCTTCCCGCTGCCAGAGCATCCACATCCTGACCTGGCTTAGAGCGGGCTTCAAGTGAGGCAGGGGTGGAGGGGGAGTGGGCAGTCCCTGGCGGCCAGGGAGGGAAGGAGGGCGAGGCTTTCTACAGTAGGCCGGCATCACCCTCCCTGCCCCCACCCCAGAAGAGACGCGGCAACATACTAGTTACTTACCACACACGTGCTTGTGACAGCCTCAAACCCACTGCCCACCCACTCCCTCGGCCACCCTGACCTCTGGCTCTGAGCCTTGTTTTGACCAAATCATGATGAGTATTTGGGGGTGGGTGGGTAAGGGGGGGCGTGGGGGAGGGATGGAACCAACTTTTTCTGTATTTTGTATTGAATGTTTTCTTCAACATGTAACCAATCAGTATCTTGTCAATATAGTCAGCCAACGGACCTCGCTCTTGCCATCCTCGTCCTTCTCGGGCAGGTTCCGTCACACCGTGCCCTCTCTGGCTCTCATAAACACAGTCGCTCAATCGCATTCAGGCATAGGCCCCTTTCCCCCAGTGCCAGGGGATGCTGGTGGTCAGGGTAACCAGGGAAAGAGGCCCTTACTGTGAGCCACTCGTGGGGGTAGGGGTGCGGGTGGACCAGGGGCGGAGTCTCCCTGAGTTTGAACTGAAGGCTCTCGCTGGCCTCGTCCTCCTCCAGATTACAGAGGGCTGGTGGGCCGGCTGTTTGGAGATGGATGGCTTCTGGGACACCACAAGTGACCAGGGGCGGTTGGTCTGGATCAGGCTCACATGGGACTCAGTCCTCTGAAGGACTCGCACAGCTCCTAGGCCAGGGCTGGACCGGGCTCTCCTCACCACCTCTCTGTGGGCACCGACCCCAGCCCCCCACCCCACGGTGGGGTCTCAAGCCTGGTGAAGCGTAGGCCCCAGCTCTCTGCTGCCCAGGGAAATGGCCTCCGTAGGGCAACTCCAGCCCCCGGGGCCACAGAGGTCTCCATTCTGGGTGGACCCCAAACTTGAGGTGCCTGCCTGCCTCCCTCTCGTGCGGCACCTCCACCACAGGCCCCGCCCCCCAGAAAAGACCAGGGACCCGCAGACTGCTGCTGCACACCGAGGTATTTACTGGCTCAGGCTAGGTTGTAACTCTGAGAACTGCGGCCTCTCAGCCTGGGGGAAGGCCCGGTGCCCAGGGAAGGCAGCAGCCGGCAGGGGCTGCGCACGCACAGCTGGCCGGAGGGCGTCAGGCAGCAGGTCATGGAGGCCGGGTCCAGGTCGTGCGGGAGCTGCATTTGCTTGTGTACTTTGCGCGCCATGCGGAATCCGCCGCCATTCGGGCCACAGCTCTCCAGGTGCTGCTGGCCGGTCACCACCAGGCACCCGCCATCCACACGCACCTCCAGCTCCTCGGGGCTGAAGCCCTGGGCATCCACCTTCAGTTGGAAGCCGCCTTCTGCGTGGTCATCGTCCGCAGCGGCTGGTTCATCTCTGAGCAGCCGCACCGGCAGCCTGGCCACCCGGTTTTGTTGGTCGAGACACAAGCTGGGATGCTGGAGGGCCTCCACCTGTTGGGAGAGGCCGCTCTCAACCCGCTGCATCGGTGTGAGCAACTGCTGCCCTGGCGCGCGCCCCAACAAAAGGCTCGCCAGCGCGTGCGCACGCGCGCACGCGCGCAGTGGGGCGCGGAGAGGGGGCCTTCACCTCTGACCACAGGACCCTCCAATCACACCCTGTGTGATTGGTTCCGCCCTGCCAAACTTAGTCCCGCCCAGCTCAATAGGAGGGGGCTGCGGTGTTATAGGTCAGCTAAGCTTGCCCTATCCCCAGGGTCAGGGTGTCAGCTGTCTGGGCACTCCTGCCCTTATTTGGGGTCTTACCCCTTTCTAGGACCAAGGGCAAGGAAGGCCCGAGGTTGTGGCAGAACTGGACAGACTGTAAGAGCCCCACCTTGCGCCTCATGAGAACAGACCCCAGTTCAGATCAAACTTCGGTGTGAGAGGGCCCCAATTGTCCTTTCAGGAATAAGGCCCAGGGGCAAAAAGGGTCGCACCCAGCAGATCGGGCACTGCACCGGTCTTCTCCGCTTGGCCCTTGAGAGATGGGAGGTGGGCGGGTCTTTCCGACTTTTATTCCTGCTGCACAGAGACGACTCTGGGGACACCAGTGAGGGCCTGGCCCTGAACTCGTGGGACTGGAAGGGAGGCAGTGGGCCTTGGCTGAGGGAAAGGCGCTGGCCCTCAGCCTCCACCTCATCCCCACCCCAGGAGCCTGCTCCGCAACCAACCACAGCCATCCCTCTGGCACTCGGCCTTTAAAAAACAAAGTCATACTGAAATGCAACACACTTACAGTACAGCGCACAAACCACAGTTGATTGTCACAAAGTGAACCAGTGTAACCATGACACAGTTAAAAGAGGGAGAACTGTTGCTAAATTTTAATCTCTCTGTATCTGCAAATCTGTACCCGGGGAGACGTGTTCGGCCGAGTCTTTGCAAGCATGGGGTGTAGGAGGGAGAGTCTGCAGAAAGTCAAAGCTCCCCCAGGTCCCAGGCCCGAGCATCAGGCGTGGGAGGGGGACAGAGTCCACAAATCGCCCAAACCTGCGCCTGTTTTCTGAGACAGCCGTCTTTGTCCCTAAGAGGACTGTCCCGCTATCACAGAGGGATTAGAAGTGACGTGGGATCAGTTTGGGTTGCGTTCACAGGCTTCATTTTGCTGCTCTGTCCCGCGGACAGCACAGAAAAGTCTGGAAGCCGGAGGCAGAGGGGATCGGCGGACTGGAGGACTACAATTCCCAGCATGCTTCAGCGCGGCGACGCTTGCGCACTGAATGCCGGTTGCCCATGCGGCCCTAGGGCTGGGAGCGCCGCGCTCCGCTGCGGGGGAGGCCATGGCGGAACCTTCCCAGGCCTCGACCCCAGCCCCGGCCGTGCAGCCCCGGGCCCTTCAATCTCCAGTCCCCGCCCCAATTCCCACTCCTGCCCCCAGCCCTGCTTCGGCCCCCGCTCCAGTTCCTACTCCGGCACCCGCCCCCGCCCCAGCTGCAGCCCCAGCCGGGAGCACAGGGACCGGGGGGCCCGGGGTAGGAAGTGGGGGGACCGGGAGCGGGGGGGATCCGGCTCGACCTGGCCTGAGCCAGCAGCAGCGCGCCAGCCAGAGGAAAGCGCAAGTCCGGGGGCTGCCGCGCGCTAAGAAGCTTGAGAAACTAGGGGTCTTCTCCGCTTGCAAGGTGGGGGCGGGGCCTGGGGTGAAAGGGGCGGGGTCTTGGGCGTCCCAGGGCTTTGGGGGGACATGGGGGGAGGCAAGCTTTTGTGGCGGGGCGGCGTCTTGACCCTAGGTATAGGATCCCTGACCGATCCGTCTGCCTCAGGCCAATGATACCTGCAAGTGTAATGGCTGGAAAAACCCCAAGCCTCCCACCGCACCCCGCATGGACCTACAGCAGCCAGCCGCCAACCTGAGCGAGCTCTGTCGCAGCTGTGAGCACCCTTTGGGTAAGGCAAGCAGGGCCCTGGGACCTGAAGGTGGGGCTGGGCCGCTGGCTCCTGCGTGAACAGGTGGCTGTAAGTGCCACAAAGCCTCCTCTCAGCAGAACCAGACTCCTGGGAAAGGCTTGGGTTGGGGTGTGTATACCTCAAAGCGGAAGGAAGCCTGGCCACCCAGAAGAGCGGCTAGACTCCTTGGCTGGTCACGCTGCCTACAGGGGCCAAGGGTGCACCTTGGCTGGCTAGGAAGCAGGAAGGAGGCTCCCGGGAGATCTATCTACCCAGCCTTGCCAACTCTGCCACCTGCCTCCTTTTAACAGCTGACCACGTATCCCACTTGGAGAATGTGTCTGAGGATGAGATAAACCGGCTGCTGGGGATGGTGGTAGATGTGGAGAATCTGTTCATGTCTGTCCATAAGGAGGAGGACACGGACACCAAACAGGTGTATTTCTACCTCTTCAAGGTGCGTTTCCGCCTCAGGAAGGAGGCTGGGAGGAGAGAGTGAGCTAGTGGGGAGGGCCTGGGGGGGTGGACTTCGCAGCCCCAGCTCTGCTGACTGGTGACTCTGTGCCCCTCTTCTCTCCAGCTCCTGCGGAAATGCATCCTGCAGATGACCCGGCCCGTGGTGGAGGGGTCCTTGGGCAGCCCCCCCTTTGAGAAGCCTAATATTGAGCAGGTGAGACAGGGGCTGGGATTAAGTGGAGACTTGGCCCGCCTGTGTTTTTCCCCTCAGGCTGAGGCCTGAGAAAGGAGGCTGCTTTGTGGGCAGGGGGGGCCCTCCTTTCTTTTTGCAGAGGGAGGGAGCTCGGAGCGGCAGCCCCTGCTGGCTGCTCAGCCCTGCTGTGTCTCCCCTTCCCAGGGTGTCCTGAACTTCGTGCAGTACAAGTTTAGCCACTTGGCTCCCCGGGAGCGGCAGACGATGTTCGAGCTCTCAAAGATGTTTCTACTCTGCCTTAACTACTGGAAGCTCGAGACGCCTGCCCAGTTCCGGCAGCGGTCGCAGGCCGAGGATGTGGCCACCTATAAGGTCAACTACACCAGGTAGGCCTGGCCAAGGAGACCATGGGGAGAAAGGTGCTGGGCCCTCCTGGGTTGAGTGGTTTCCACCCTCCCCTGCCTCCACAGGTGGCTGTGTTACTGCCATGTCCCTCAGAGCTGCGATAGCCTCCCCCGTTACGAGACCACGCACGTGTTCGGGCGAAGCCTGCTCCGCTCCATCTTCACCGTTACGCGCCGGCAGCTGCTGGAGAAGTTCCGAGTGGAGAAGGACAAGCTGGTGCCCGAAAAGAGGACCCTCATCCTCACCCACTTCCCCAAGTAAGGCTCCTTCCGGCCGCTCAGCCCCAAGTTTGAGTCCTTGCGGTTGCCTCCTTTCTTCTGGGGAGGCCTCCTGGGCTATTCCCTCCTCCTCTCCATGAGTCTTCTGGATTCGGGGTGTCTACCTGGCAGCTGGCCCTGGCCCACCAACTCTGCTTGCCTTGTGCAGTTAGTCTGGGGGTGCCAGGGGCCTGCCTGAGGGCTGGTGCTACTCCACCCATACGCACGGTAGACGTGACCAGTCTGCAGGACCTGGACAGAGCCTCAGAAGCCCGCCCCCAGCAGCGCCCCAAGAAACCAGAGTTTCCCCTTGACGTGAACCTGACGCCCACCCTCATTCCTCTGTTACATTTCCCTCTGCTCCGCTGTAATCCGGGCCGTGCTCCCGTGCTCCTCCTGCCAGCAGGGCCCTGAGGAGACGGGCCCAGGGTAACACGGCAGGCTGCCCGGCCACACACTCAGAAGGCCAAGACCGAGGCCCGGGTCCCTGTCTTCCTCCCCCTGCGGCCCGCCACAGCAGGCAGTAGGCCTCTACGAAGTGTCTCTTCCCGCCACTTGGGTGCTCCCAGAAGGTAGAGGGTGTCTGCTCTCTCAGACTCCCTGTTCCTCTGTCTCTTTCCCTGGCCGATTGCCACTGTGATGCCTAGCCCAGGGGCCCACCTTGGTTGGAGGGATAGAGTTAGGGGGCTAAGCGTGTGTGTCTCCCGCCCCCTCCCCACCCCCCAGATTCCTGTCCATGCTGGAGGAGGAGATCTATGGGGCAAACTCTCCAATCTGGGAGTCCGGCTTCACCATGCCACCCTCAGAGGGCACGCAGCTGGTGCCCAGGCCTGGTATGTCTGCCTTGCAGGCTGAGCTAAGACCTCTGGGCAGAGAGGTGCTAGAGTGGCAGTGCTGGGCGGGCAGGAGGGTTGCTACCCTGGTGGGCGGGGCGGGTCCCTTCAAGACGCCTGCCTAGCCACCAGCCTGGACCCAATTTCTCTGTCTCAGCTACTGTCAGTGCGGCTGTGGTTCCCCGCACCCCCATCTTCAGCCCCACCATGGGCGGGGGCAGCAACAGTTCCCTGAGTCTGGATCCCGGAGGGACGGAGCCCATGCCAGGTGGGGACATGACCCCTGACCTCTGATGACCACGGACTTCCGCCCCCACTCTTCTCACTGCTCCTGAGAGTCCTTGCCACTCCAACCCACTCTCTCCCCCGCCCCCCTCCCGCAGCAGGCGAGAAGAGGAAGCTTCCGGAGAACCTGACGCTGGAGGATGCCAAGCGGCTGCGGGTGATGGGTGACATCCCCATGGAGCTGGTGAACGAGGTCATGCTGACCATCACCGACCCTGCCGCCATGCTGGGGCCCGAGGTGGGCAGCCCGTGGGCAGCGGGGCGAGTGGGGCCCTGACTGGCCTGAGCCCCGGGCTCACTGCCCGCCCTGTGGTGCCCAGACCAGCCTGCTGTCGGCAAATGCAGCCCGGGATGAGACCGCCCGCCTGGAGGAGCGCCGGGGCATCATCGAGTTCCACGTCATCGGCAACTCGCTGGCGCCCAAGGCCAACCGGCGTGTCCTGCTCTGGCTCGTGGGGCTGCAGAACGTCTTCTCCCACCAGCTGCCGCGCATGCCCAAGGAGTACATTGCCCGCCTCGTCTTCGACCCGTGCGTCTCCAGCAGGCCGCCCCTCCACCTCTCCCCCTGACTGCCCCCCCAAGCCAAACCAAACCAAACGCACTGCCCTTGAGCGGTTTCAGACCCTTGGCAGCCCTCTAGGGCAGGGTAGAACAGCCCCTGTGGGTTTCTAA